TATTATCCCTTTTCTTATTTCAAAACGCTGGTTAATGGTGTCTTCATGGATGTTGGGGGAAGACGAGGTGACGATGAAATTCATGATCTGTCAATCCACTGAATTTATTAGTGTGATGTTAATCATGAATCCCGACAGGTTCTGATCGTTTTCTCCATAACAACCAATACCTTGAATTCATTTCCAATACGCCATTGGAGGTTTTGTTTCTTTTTCTTTTCATTTATTTATTTGGGGTTTGATTTTCTTTGATTTGCAGCTTTCCTTTTTTTCGTATTTTGGATTTATTGTTTTTTGTATCCTTATAGGATATTGCGAGATTTTATGGTGTCATTCTCGGTTCTAACTGCTCATTCAGCAGCCCTACTCGTCCAGCTGCATTCACAGTTTGTCTTGTTCAGCTTCAAGAGTGTCTACATATAATCGGCATTGCATCAATCAACCCAAGAGAGCTAGGGAGGCTCAGAGGCACAACCACAACCATAGAAGCTGGCTCCACCGTCGCCCAGGAAAAGGCAGTGGCTACTCTTCTTAACATCTCCACTTCGACCCCTGCCACTGTTCAAATTGCCACCGTGACCCTTTACAGCCTTCTCATCGTTGATAAGTATCAACTCATTATGGCACCAAGCGGGATATCATCTTCTCTCTTGTCGACATCATTCGGAACTCCAACCGCGATATGCTACGGCGGTGATTACGCAGGTGGCTGGGTGTTTCGAGAGTGGGGATGCCTTTCGGAAGCTGTTGGGAGTAGGGATTTTGGTGGATTTATTGGATTCGACGATAGGTTCGACGGTTAGAATGAGGGAGAATGCGGTTTCTTTTACCGACGCCAACGCGACGGACTCGTCTAACGACGAAGATGTGTTGTTTGGCCATCACAGAGTGAAGAGGTACGTCAACGAGATTAGTATTGAATCTTGCTCTATAGATAACGATAACGCGAATGGTGGTTGGAGAAGTAAATCCGTTCGGAACGGGCGAAAAAAATCAGTCGGAGGAGAAAACATTTAGTCTAACCGGTGCCCCTTAAATCTCTCTTCATCAAACAGCAAGAAGTTCTGCGGAGTATGGCAACGACCATGGGGAAAATGGGCTGCTGAGATTAGAGACCCCGCACGAGGTGTACGCTTGTGGCTGGGAACTTACTACACCGCCGAGGAAGCAGCCAAAGTTTATGACAATGCAGCGATTCAGTTGAGAGTACCAAATGCAATGACGACTTTTGCTACTCCGCCAAAAGCTAAGCAGCAGATACAAGTACCAACCAGTTCTGGATACGATTCCTTCTATTGCTACCTTTGCTACTGTGACATCGGAAAATAGAGGAAATCAAGATAAAAAAAAAAAAAAAGAGGGAGGAGAGAAAGGGAAAGGGGAAGAGAGAAATCGGGAGAGAGAAGACTTCAGAAGTTCGCCGCCCCTGCTGTATCATGAGGTCGAGGAAGATGAACAATGTTTTTCGCCTGAGGGTAGTATGGGGATTAAAAAATATTGTAAACAGATTTTGGCCAAAGCTAACGAAAGGGGGTCTTTCTCTCACGGTCATAGTACAAGGGATCTTTGTGGCAAAACAAATACAGGGATCTTTGTCACAGACCACATAGTACAGGGGGGTCTTTGTAATTTACCCTTTTTAAAATATGCTTCCATATATTCAAATTTCAAAGTTAAAAGTTATATCGGGGAAGCCACCCAATCACATTATTATTTCGAGAAAGATTAGCTTAACGCAATAGTTGTTCAATACGCTGTGGAACCAATTATAACACTCTACACTAGTGATAAAATACATAGGGCCCACAACCAAAAAATAATTTCTTGTAATAATAATAATAATGAATAATGGTTTTTCATAGTTAATAAAAAAACTACGAGCATAAGCAAATATTAGCAAGTTAACCATAATTTTTACTTTCATAAATCGGATTTTAACATTTTGATCAAAAAAATTGTTAGGAAAATGGCGAATTGTATTTGCCACTTTCCCAGCACAGATCTAGGAGAAAATGGCAAAAAATGGGTTAAAGCCCACCATAGCAAAATCGCAACCAAAAACGGTGAGGAATCAAGAAAAAACATAAGGGATTTCACTTACATAAACCATGAAATCCTCCCTGGTTGCTCATGTAGGGATGGCATTTTCCCGTCCCCGATAGGGATCCGACTTCCCCAACCCCATCGAGTCAGGGATGGGGATTGTTTTGGCGGGGTGGGGATGGGGTCGGGGATGGGGATTGAGGTCCTCACCCCGCTCCGACTCCAGTTATATATATATATATATTAAATGTTATTTATATGAAATATACTATTATAATATTTATATTATATTATATATATCAAAATATATTTAAAACATTATTTATAATTTAAATTTTTTATTTATTTTAAATAAATTTATTTTTCAAAAAAAATACTGTTATCTAAAAACATTTCAAGAATTCGGGTCCTTGAAGTAAACCCATTCCCGTTGGAAATCAGGGATGAAGAATAAATTTTATCCCCAGTGGAAATCAAAACGGGAATGAGAGCTAATTTTAAAACCGAGTTGGGGACGAAAAATATGATCCCCGCCCAGTTACCATTCCTATGCTCATGCCTTCGCCTGGTTCACCATCACCTCATGTATCTATCCTCTTCTCTATAAAAAGGGGCAATGTGGGTAGTTTGAATTTCTTGTAAGGATACTCTTATCCTCAAAAAATGAATAAGTACTTATCTTGTATGTAAAACAATAAATAATTATTTTTTATTTTTTTGCTAATATGAATAAATACTTATTTGCTACTTATTGTATATTCTCGCATTACTTGATTTAAGTACTTATTTTAAAATAAGTATTTAAAATCCATGGTGATCCTATGCAATCTGGTTGCTCCTATCTGGCAATGAAGTGGCTTCCAGTTAACAGCTGAGGCGGCTAATTTGCAGAGAAAATCAAAGAACCCGGGGGTATTTATTCGGCGAGGTCGTTCTGATACTTAAGTCAGTACTTAGCGAGCTGATAGAAATTCAGAATGGGAAGGCTAGAAGGCAGAGATTACGTGTACCTTGGGCCTTGGGAGAGGGGCCTTTATATAATGGAGTCCTCGCGGGCTTCACGGAGTAGTTTCGTGATCTTTTCCATGATAGAGTCCGTTTCCTTGTTATCCGGAGATAACGTTATCATCTGATAAGGCTAATCACTTCCGCCCGGATCGGACGAAGAGATAATGCTTAATTGTCATGAGACGTGATCCCGTGGAATTCGGGGATCGTTAGAGTGATTATCGGGATTATGTTGAGGGTAGATCGGCATACACGAGCTGGTGTCTGCCTCGAACTGATGTTCTCGAGCTAAGGGTCGTACACCCCGAACTGAATTATAAACTCATGCCGCGACCTGATGCCGAGGTCCCCTTAGCTCGGGATGAGTACCAAGGTGCTCTTAGATTAGGATGAGTACCGAGGTGCTCTTAGCTCGAGATGAGTACCGAGGTGCTCTTAGCTCGGGATGATTTCAGTTCGAAGGATCCCTAGCTCGGGGTAGTGGAGTACTACTTTGTAGCGAGCTGGCTATGCTGAGTTGTCGCCCATGTGGAGTCGCGTACACGTCTTCCCTTATTACGAGGTCGGACCAAATCACCCTCCATTAATTGCCCCCCACTCCCCTAGCTAGGGGTCCTGACCTGGTATGGGGAGTTTACGATATGACGGGTGGATTTGGTTCGAAGTCTAGGCCGTCCAATCAGATAGTTCATCAGTCAGACCCGCTCGCTGCTTGGCTCAATCAAGGATAACCCGAGTCACGTACGGTTCACGTGCGGACGTCACGCGATCTATAAACTCCGCAGATGCCAAAAAACGCGCTAATCTGATTTCAACCTCGGGGGTCGTGCAGCCGGTTTTCTTGAGAGTCGTTGGATAGCCTTGATCTCGATCGTTGATTCTTGGACATAGTGGCTATATAGGGGGACCCGAGACATTTTTCCTCGCCATAAGTTACACTAGCCTTTCGCTCAGAGGTCGCGTCTAGACTCCTTAGCTCGGGTTTCCCAGTTCGTCGTTTTCTCGGTTTGGTCATTTTCTCTAGGTGAGTCTTCCCTAGCTTCTTTTTCAATTCGATTCAGTTCGTAGTTATGTCGCAGCTTAGTTTTGATAGTCTTTTGGATGAGCCCGAGGAAGGTACCTCGGCTCAGGTCGGTCCTCCCGAGGTGGAGTCATCCTGGGAGGCGCGAGAGGTCACGAATAATCCGGCGTCTACTTCTCATCGAGGTCAGGCGCCGGACAAGTTCGGTCCCTCGACGTTGACTGTAGATAGACTTAGGAATTTAATAGGTCAATACCACCTCCCGAATGAGTACACCTATAGTCTCTCCATAAGCAATTTCCCTTGGGAACACGATTATAATGAAATCATAATTTTCGAAGAGCAGCTTGTGGTTGGTCTTCGCTTACCTCTTCACCCTTTGATTATAGAAGTCTTGAAGTTCTTCAACATCACTATAGACCAATTACACCCGAACTCAATTCGAAATGTAATAGGGACGATCTCTCTTTTTTACGTGTAATCTCTGCCTTTTTTATCAGCTCGCTAAGTACTGACTTAAGCATCAAAACGACCTCATCGGGTAAATACCCCAAGTTCTTTGATTTTCAGATCAACCGCCTCAGCTGTTAACTATAAGCCACTTCATTGCCGGATACAGTCAGATTGCGCAAGATCACATGGGTTTTTTAATATTTGTCAGTTCAAAGGTTTAATTTAGGGATTTTTGAACTGTAATTATAAAAAACCCTTGGCGTGGAAGGGGTGGACTGAATCATAATAACCCCTTTAATTTAACCCTTCAAATAAGAATGGTGTGAACGATCAGTGTTTGCTAAGTGTGAAAGCATCCTCGCCGAGATTGGACTCGAGTACGTCAAGGCCCCACGTGTACACGTAACTGACTGACACGTTTTTCTCTCACCTTCACATGGATACCCTATAAACACAGAGACAAGGCCGTTGTCATAATAATATCTTCATCCTTTAACCTTCTATATGCTCTGTTCTTCCTCACGTCGCATTTTAGGTTGCAGAAGTCTCGCGGTTTTTGCAATCTCTGTTCCGAAGTTCTATATACCCCGCCATCTCTCATCTGTTCCGAAGTTCTATATACCCCGCCATCTCTCATCTGTTCCGAAGTTCATAGTATCAGGGCTCCCCCGTTCTTCTTCGATACCCTTTTCTTTTTTCTCTCGAAAGCCCATCTTGTTCCTAGTCAAATCAGCTTCTACGATGGCAAGCCAATCGAAGAAAGAACCAACATCCATTCACGATTTTACTGTCAAGGTTCGTCACTTTGATTTGTTGAAATTTTTTTGGTGTATTTTTGGAATATCTGTTTTAACCTAGTATCGATTGTTAACGCCTTACGGAAGGGCGTCGGGTTTATCTTTTTAATTCTTTTTTTTTTCAAATTTCCCGATTATAGTTACTAATTTCTAAAAAGTGATTTGATATCCTATTTCCAGAATAAAATTACCATTCATTTGCATGGCTTTATTGCGTGATTCCGTAACTCCGTTCTGTCGCTTAATTTTTATTTCAACAAATTTTCCTTTTTTTTTTTCTGCTTCTACAAATTTTCCTTACTATCAAAAAGAATTCGGTCTCCTTTTTTTTGTTTTTTTTTTTTTTGTAGTCTAGTTTGTCGATATCATGCCCGTTTAGGTGTTTGGTCTCCTTAGACAAACCCGCCCCCAATCCCATCAAAAGAGGATCCTGATATCTGATGTAATTAAATTTCTTATGTTGGTTTATCTGTTCCCATACTGAGTTTGCTTTGGTTTGCAGGATGCAAGGGGAAATGATGTCGATCTTAGCGTTTACAAGGGAAAGGTTCTGGTGATCGTTAATGTTGCATCACAATGGTATAACTTAGTTTCCTTCTTTGCTGGTTTCATTTGGATTTAACTTCATTAACTGTAAACAAACCTTCTGAGTTTTTTCCCCTTTAATTGGCTTCTCAGTGGATTGACCAATTCGAACTATACGGAGCTGAGTAAGATATACGACAAGTACAAAGATCAAGGTCTGGATTTCAACTGCCTTTTCCTGTTAATGTTTAACAGGAATGCTTGCATAGATACACAAACCAGGGTTTCAATGTTCTTTTATTGCTTTCTCCTTTTTCACTCTTGAGACTAGGTGTAAGAGTTGACTCTGTTCACCATTTGTGCAGGTCTAGAGATATTGGCTTTCCCATGCAATCAATTTGGTCAGCAGGAGCCAGGAACTAACGAACAGATTCTGGAATTTGCCTGCACTCGCTTCAAGGCTGAGTATCCCATTTTTGACAAGGTAATTCCATGACTAGAAAAGATGCTGTTACCCTCCAATGAAAGATTTCGGCATTATGTGTAATAGGGGGTCTCTGTGTTCATCTGTTGATGAGAAAGCACGGAGGTTCCATACCCAGAAAGAGGGAAAAGTAGTAAGAGCATTTCTTAATTTCTGTCTTCTTGGATTAGGTTGATGTGAATGGGCAAAATTCTGCTCCAATTTACCAGTTCTTAAAGTCAAGCAAAGGTGGGATATTTGGAAGTGGAATCAAGTGGAACTTCACAAAGTTTCTGGTTGACAAAGAGGGGAATGTGGTTGATCGCTATGCTCCAACAACTTCTCCTCTTAGTATGGAGGTATTTGATGAATATTCATCATTTGTTCACTTGGATTTTGCTTGCAGGCTTCAGCAGCTGAGTTGGGTTAACACTGCTTTTCATTTTGATTTTAAATTGTGTGTTTCTTTTGTTCTTTTGCAGAACGATATAAAGAAGCTGTTGGGTGTCTCCTAAGTGCTGGGATACAGAGGTTTCATTGCCATTTGCCCCTACTAAATAAAATAGGCTTATGTTCAAATGGCTGTGAAGTGGTCTTGTACTAAGATATAAATTGCACCAGATCATGTTCTATTTAAATAGGCATTAACAGTTTCTTCCCGTATTTCCCAGCATGTTTACTGCCAAGTACCAGCTGTCTGCTCGCTCTGTGTAACTGTGTATGTATCGCTGTAGCATATCCAGTGTTTGTTGATATCCTCCAATGGAGATTGGAGAACTCGCACATCGATTTAGTTAGAAAGCATTTTATGGAAATAATCAACCACCAAGGTTTTGATCAACCTAGATGGCTGAAGCCGGTAGGCGACCTGAAATGGGTAAAGCCAGTTTGGTTGCAACTTGCAATGTGGTAACTCAAAAATGAGACCCAAACAAATACAACCACCAGAAAACAGAGGCACCAACTACAAAAAAAAAAGCAACAAACTACCCCCTAAACAACAGAGAAGAAACTAACATACAAAAGAAAAGATAAAACTACTACTATTCTACTACGGATAGCATCCAAGGAAAACAGAGAAAGCATGTTTAGAGATCTGCTGAATTTACTGGAAGAAATATCCGGACAATCAGAGAAACACAGATGTGAATGGAATTCACTCATACTGTTTTGTATTGATAAGATGCAAATATTTATAGTATATTTGCATTTCTGAGTTAAAGAGAAATTACTGAAAAACAGGTTACAGAGAAATTACAGTTGTTATGTAACTAAAAACAGACGATGAGCTCGTCTCTGAGGAAAGTAAAACACTTAACATGTAAAGCCTTGATAAAAATATCTGCAACTTGGTCGATGGTGGACCAAGTTGAACCTTATCTCCGTACAAAATGAAAACCCAATTCTATATGCTTTAGCGTGGGCGTGATGAAATAGATTAGAAGCAAGGTAAGTGGCCCCGATATCATCGCCATAAATAATAGGAGGTGAAGAAGAACTAAGGCCAATTTCTTGTAAAAGCATTTTAAGCCACCGATATTCCACCTTTGTGCTAAACGAGAGATGGTCCGGTGTTTCTTGGAAGACCAGGACACCAAATTGTCACTAAAGTAAACATAAAAACCTCCACGGGACGACCGGTCATCAGGTACAACCAGCCCAATCAGAGTTACTGTAACCATATAAAGCTGTGTAGACTGTGAACGAGTAATGGCAAGACCCAAAGTGAGTGTAAGTACATGTAATTTTTTATTATCCCAATTACATTGTAGATATCAAAATAAGGTTACAAGCACAAATTTAACAACACGTGGAATCTCCCAGAACTTGCGATGGGCTTAATAATAACTATGTAGATTTGTAATAGAAATTTTGATGAGCTTAAAAGCTACCCAAGATCTGTGATAAGCATGGAAGGCCATCCAAGACTTGTGATGAGTATAAAACACCTATTGGGACCCATTGTGAATAATGGGTGTCGCTCGAGACTTGTGATAATAGCGCCAATTAGACTTATCTTTTAACATGTGACCACTGGGAAATCTATAAGGAGACGTAACTTACAAGTGTCACGTGAAAATCCTTAAGAGAGGAAACTTGGTCTTTGAAGGATTTCGCTAGACACGTGAAATTCTAATGATGCTCCCTTAATAAATGACATAAAAATCCACTTTCCTAATAGGAAAAGTATTCTTTTAGATATTTCTCTTTATAATTTTGAGATCCTCTCTATAAAAAGGAGGAATAACTCTCCCCCACATCAGACAATATACAATGTAACTCTGACTTTGTCTCTCTCCCTGTCTCTCTTTCTTCCTCCTATTAGCTTCTCCCACTGTCCTCTACAATCCTCTCGACATTTTCTCTTTCCTGTCGTCTTTTTTTGACCTAGGGAGACTTAACCAACCTTCATCGCCTTACCACAGCAATTACAGTGAGTGTATGCTTAAGGTAGCGTAAAACGCAATTAACAGATGTCCAATGAGAGATTGTAGGTTTAGCCATGTATTCTGCCACTTTATTTACCGTATTAGAAAGATCAGGCCTAGTTACTATGAGGTACTGAAGGGCGCCTACAGTACTTTTATATAGTGTTGGGTCTTCAAAAGGTTCTGAATCTTTAGTAGTTAGTTTAAGAGATGAGGACATTGGAGTACATGGTTTGGCCTCTAACATGTGAGTTCGTTGAAGCAATTCATGAGTATACCTTGTTTGAGACAAATGAATACCATGGGGAGTAGGCTGAGACTCCATTCCAAGGAAGAAATGTAATGGGCCTAAGTCACGCAAGGTAAATTCTATAGAAAGAGAGTCTACAACAGACACTATTGACGAATAATTTAAACCTGTGGTGATAATATCATCAACATAGATCAATAGAAGAATGATATCAGTTGCAGTGTGATGAATGAACAAGGAGGCATCAACTTTTGATTCAATAAATCCACGAGAAATGAGTGAATATCCCTTTGGCGTTTGAAACCAAGCACGAGGTGCTTGACGGAGGCCATATAGAGAACAATGTAGCTTACAAACATGGTGTGGGTATGTAAGGTGTTGAAATCCAAGAGGTTGTATCGGCTTGACAACAGGATTAAAGGTGTCATCAACGTAACGTTTGATTTTATAAACCCAACAGCAACCCACGACAGGGATTAGTGACCATGTCCCAGTTTGGAGAAGAGCATTGAACTCTTTATGCATGGCTTCAGGCCAACGGGGATCAAGTGAAACCTACATGTAAGAAGCTGGCTCAACATCTGGCATAGAAGATAAATAGGCATATTTTCGATTGGGCTTACAAATCCCATTTACTTCTAGTGTGCATGTTGTGTTGTGTGTGGACTGAGTAGGAAGAACAGAAGTCTGGTTATTGCTTGAAGAAGGTGTCCTTGTAATAGTAGACATGCTAGAGAAGGTAATGGGCCTAGAATCAGTCTATGCATTAGTTGGTGAAATAGCAGAATCAGAAGTGGATGTGGGCCTATGAGGAAAAACACCACAGGTGGAGGCCCGAGAAGGGAAGGAGTTGAACTCAGTACTGAAGATGTCTGAACTCGCTAATGCTGTAACACAGATGCATAAGAAAAAGAGTCCTCATGAAACACTACATCTCTTGATACATGTAGACGTCCAGTAGGCACATATAAACACCTATATCCTTTATGCTACCAACTGTACCCAAGAAAAGTAGAAAGATATATCAATGCAAAATGAAAATTTCTCTTTATTATATAGCCTGAGATTGGGGGAACCGTCACAACCAAACCCTTTAAGAGACTGTAATCTTGGGTTCTACCATAAAGAACTTTTTGCCCTTAATATAATAGGGTTTTTAGTAGATAAGGGCAACTTTTTGCCCTTAATATAAATAAAAATAATATTTTTTATTATTAATAACCAAAATGGAATAGCTTTTTTGAAAAAATATCAAGAAAGGGAAGTGGACACTATTGCTAATCTTCCTCTTTTACTTCTGTACTCATGCGAATGGATCATTCTTTTTAAAGAATGATGAGAGACAACAAGAACCCCGGTGATAAATAGTCGGATTTTTCTCACGTGCACAGCCGAGAAAATGATAACTCGTATTTCTAGCAGGATTCCAAAAAACTACAGCTCTATTTATGCAATAGCTTCCACTGGTAATCTTCACCACCACCATTATCTTCGTTACCTTGTTGTACTTGCAGCGGCAACTCATCATCCTTGTCAATCTTTCTAAAACTGCTTCCGATACTGAACCTGGAAGACCCTTGATTGTCTTGCTCTCTGCAGACCAAGAGTTTGACAGTGGAATCCTCCCCCAGGTCCGAAGGATTGCCCAAGTATCTTGAGCTATTAGAGTACGCAAAAGGGGAGAGGTCCGCGGGATCAACCTTGTGTCTACAAAGAGGACAACTGGAGTGGTTCTCAAATCTCAAGCCATTTGTCAACACAATCGATACGAAATGCATGCTTACACTTGGCAAGCAACCGGAGGATCTCAGTGTCTTCAAATTTCTATAGACAAACGGCACACATTCGAAGCCTTCCCGGGACCTCCTGAGGGATGAGAATCTGAAGATGGGAAGCGAGTCGATTACGGTTTTATTGATTCCAGAAAACCAGTGTTTTAAAAAACGACCCGGAAATAGAATCGTTTTGGTCACCGGTTTCCGGGTCAACGGTCTGACCATCCGGTTCGAATGGACAGTTCGTTCTGATAGCAAAATTAAAAAATGGTCAAAAACTGTTGAACGGGTCGACGGTTCGATTACCCGGGTAAACGGTTTGTTGACTTATTCAACGGTTTTTTACCAGATTTCGGGTTTTGGGTAAAATGGAACCGGTTGCCTGTACGGTTCCTGGGCCGAACGGTCTGACCATCCGAATCAACGGCGGTTCAAAAACGTTGCAGAAAACCGTAACCTTGTTCTGAATAGACCCCAATGCTGGCGGTGGTTGAATTCGCATGAATACAAAAGCAGAGAAGGAAGACGAGCAACAGTATCCACTACCCTTTCTTAATATTTTTCCAGAAAAACTATCACATTTTAATTATTACAGAAAAATATTATTTTTTATTGATATTAAGGACAAAAAATTGCCCTCATCTACTAGAAACCTGATGCGATGCAATCTGACTGCTCTCAGGTGGTGATGATCTAACTTCCAGTAGATGACGGAGTTGGCTGATCTGCACAGAGAGATTCAGAGAACCCGAAGGTGTTTATCCGGCGAGGTCGCTCCAATGCTTAAGTTAGGAATTTGTGAGCTGAAGGTAGTTTAGAAAGCAAGAGAGCTAGTGAGCAGTGATTACGCGTACCTTTTCCCCCGAAGGGTTGGAGTCTTTATATATTGGAGTCCTCGTGGGTTGTTCGGAGTGGTTCCGAGATTCTTGCCGTGATGAGGACCGTATCCGTATTAGCAGGAGATAACGCTACCAGCCGATAAGGCTTATCGCTTCCGCCCGATTCAGACGGAGGAGATAAGGCTGGCAATTACGAAGTGTGATCCCATAAAGCGTGGAATCTGGTGGCGATATCTTCGGGGGTAACATGCAGGTCGGTCAATATTACCTGAACTAGTGCCCCTTGGGTCCGTCCTAGTACGAATGCCGAGGTGTCTTATAACTGAGGTGACCTTGATGCAATCGTGTCCCGAAGTGAACTTGTCCCGAAGTGGATTTGCCCCGAGGTGGTTC